TGTATAGTACATCTAATAGCTTGTGTTGTTTTTTATTGTCTTGTACTTTACAGCTGGCCTAAAATCTATAATCATGTCAAAACATGTGTAAGGTGTGTAACAAATTGTGTAGGATGTTTTCAGTGTAGCCATATTAGAAATACCTGCATTACACTTGGAGCAGGTTAGACAGCTGCATCAGTCAACCTGTTGGTGCTCTGCCAGGAGAAGCTTCCACCACACACACACACACACACACAAAGTTCTGTGACATGGTGTGCTGGGAAATGCTGTTTTTGGCCCCGGGCACTTCCCGTGGAAGCCAAAACGATGTGTCACAATGGCAGCACTTCTACCAGATGAGACGAACAGCGGTTAAGACAAATGTCTCACACATACCCTAGGGACAAAGGCACATCTGCACAGACCAATTAGGGCCTGAGAAACTTCTAAAAGCTGTGGTTAGACTTTAGTTAAAGGACCCTGTATCAAAACAACATATGTTTGTGAGCCACTCATCACATTTTTATTTCAAATGTACATAAAGCTCATTTTAACAGAGAAGTGTAGTTCTTATTGTGAACAAGATGGTATATGTGAGATTTATCTCTGGATGTCCCCAAATAACTCCATAATAATAGGAAAATATATCAATTTTGACCTTGTGGGGACATTTGTGCAGTCCACAGTAAGAATAATGCTTTAAAATCTTAAAAAGTATCAAATGCTTTTTTTTTTTAGTTAATAAGATTAGGTGTAGATATAGTATATATTACTGAATGAATGAGTGTGTGAATGTGTGTGATGCCCTGCAATGAACTGGCTAGGCTTCAGGATCCGTGCATTTTTATTCACTAATTAAGTGAAAACTACACCGCTCATAAAAGTGTTTGCCCTGTTTAATAACACTGCTTTTGCCTTTACAAATGCACCATATATGTCATTTTAATAACATTATTAACCATATTAGGAACAGTGGATAGCTCTGTAGTGATTCTTTTATGTTCTTTTGAGTACACGCTCCAATGCTTTTGCTCTCATCTACCTGAAACTCTGCAAGAAATAAAATCGACACTCTATATGAACAAGCTACAACCATATCAAAGCAGGCCAGCTCAGTTAAAAGGTCACAACACGTCGCCAGCCATGAAAGAAGATATGCAAGCCTCTATCCGTGCTCTCTTCATCCGTGTAACAGTCCTTATGTAAAGAATTTCACACATTATTTAACTTGTCTGACACTATCAGTGTAACAACAGCATCTGAGGGGTGCTGGCAATGAATACAGTATTCTCCTGATAGAGAAACCTGCAGACACCAACAAAATCTGCTCTGATAAAGACAGAGAGAGAGAGAGAAGATGTTGGTAAAGCAGGTGCTGGGGATATGCAGCAGGTGGAGAACGGCATTGTTTAGAGCAGCGATCAGGGAGCTTGTCAGGACTGTGCAGTAATTTCTCTCCCTGTGGAAATGTAGAGGTGAGCTGTTATATGCTGTGGGACTGCCAGTCCTGTCTGATCACTGGAGAGTTCCCTCATCCACACCATGACAGCACTCCCTCGGCTGCCTCTTTGCGATGCCCGAGTTTCATTACTCTGGGTATAATGAAGCCCTTCTCCAAGAGCACACGACTCACTCTGGAATACCTGCAGAGTCTTAGCTCCTTTCTGCTTTAGTGAAGAAAGAAGAGAGAAGCACGGTGATTAGGAACGACAGTAAGAGATGGACAGAGGAAGAAGAATGAGTAGGAGAAGATGAATATTGTTAAGATGACTTATAGTGAGGTACTGTCCAGGTTTGCGATTCAGCAGTGTAGATCTTGCTTGACTGGGCGTACTGAGGATTTAAGGTGTTTAAGAGGTTTTAGGTGATCTGAATAGGTGAGGGGTGAAGGGAGCTGGGAGGCGGTGTGCGTCCCCAATAGTAGATCATTTTGAGGATGCCACTGTGCTGAACTCTGGCCTTTAAACACTGCTAAGTCTGATAAAGCCTCAGAGCTGCTATCAATGCCCTCCAGGCACACTGATGATCCACATCCACACCTGCTATTGATCTGTGCAGTGGCGATCGTGGCTCACTGTGACAGGCCTCTGGCTTTTTCACTGCGGGACCTGCATGATAGTCACTGGTAGTCATTTAAAGATCAATTTCTGGCAGTAGCTTGCAAGTGTAATATATTGTTGTAATGCAATGCAAACAATCCAAAGTCCACTATTTATCCTGATTATAAAACAAAACCTGCATTACTTTCTTTACATTGGAATTTATATGTATTAATATATTTTGTTTGTGTTTGTCATATTTTGCAGCCATGCTCTCAGCTACCCGAAATCCCTCTTATGTAAAAAACACATGCACGTCACATGTGATCATAAGTTTTTCATATGTGATTCTGTGAATATGTGACCTCTAAAGATGCATTTCATCATCATCATCATCATCATTATTATTATTATTATTATTATTATTATTATTATTATTATTATTATGTGAGAAAATTACATCTGAGTAATTAAACCACATGTCCCACATGTGAAAAATTAACGTGAAAGTAAATAAATCATGTGTATATTCAATAAATGTATAAAATGTGTGAAACAAAAGATGTGAAAAATCACATGTGAAGGTCATGCGACTTTCTGTAAGGGTCTGCAAGAAGAATAAAGACACCTATTAGACAAATGTATAAAGACGATAAAACTGCTTTTAGACCTTTTATCCACACATTGCATGCTCTAATAAAAGACCATTTATATGCTGAGATGAGCTGGAAGGAGAGTGACAAATGAGCCAAACAAATGACGTTCCTGCTCCACATCAATATAACTTGAGTCTGCTGGTGAGCTGCATCACATCCCCTCACTGCTCCATGGAGCACGGCTGGGGAACTGTTGAGCACTTTTAATTATGTATATAATAAGGTTGGGGTCAACATATTTCATGCCAGGAGAATGATGTGTATTTAATGACTCCAATACATTACCTTCCATGTGTAATCTTACTGACGGAGTGCCTGTAAGTTTAATTACCATTAATCAGCATCAGGGTTTGTCTGTGTGGAGAGAAATAGATGAGTCTGTGATTTGCTTCTCGCTGGACTGCTGTTGGGGGTGACACGCAGCACATGCGACAGCTATGGGGAGCTGCCTGATAGATAATGCTCACCTCGAGCCTGCCTAATAAAGCATGTGCCATGTTACAGAGTGTAGTTTTTACAGTGTAAGATGTATTGGGTTAATATAGTTACTCACTGATGCTTACCTGACTAAATGCCCTTCATTCCGAATAAAGGCAGGCTGCAATCAGTTATGTTCCCAGATCTGTTTTTTGGAAATAAATAGTTTTTTAGACCCCTGTTGTTGGCCCTGGTTGAAAGGTTTGAGAGCTCTTTCTTGTTTGCACACAGATAAGTGCAGGGACTGAGTTCACACTGAGGCTTAATCAACATATGACCTCTTTCAAATGCAATTTACTTGTAAAAACTTCCTGAAGTCCTTTTTATGCCTATAAAGTGCTTGTAGAAAATTCAAATTCCTTGTTTAAATTATTAATGCTTTAGTAAGTGTACTTTTCCTAGCCAACATGCCATTGCAGCAGTGAAATGTAATTCAACAAGTCGCAGGACTTCATTACAAGTCTTCCAAATCCTTTTATCCTCTTCACAAACATTTGCACGAATGAATGCAAAGCCAAACATCTGTATTGATGCAAATCCCTCTTATGTTTGTTGATGTGCTCAACTCTCTGTGGTCCTGTGGCAAAACTGAGACAGAAGCACAGGGGGCGGAACCCCCCTGTACAGGCCCACAAAACGGCCCTGTGAAAAGCCACATCAATTTCATCCCAGACAAGTGCCGTCACACAGATTAGGCAGCCACAATGCAGCAGGGCCTTATCTCCTGCGGCAGGAGGAGGGCAGCCTGATCTGCGCAGGATGGAAACATTCTCACCACGTAATGGACAAAATCAATTGTTGCCCTCCTCAATCAATGCGGCACCTCGCTTGCTGCTCAGTAGCTTCCCGTGTAACTGCAATTCTCTGCGGCCTGTGATGGTGGCGTGAGGCGACCATGCGACCAGGCTGAAGAAGGATGATAACTGGCCACATGCTTGAATTGTGGTGCAGGTAAAAGTGAGCAGGACTCACCTGGGTGATCATTCCTTAGCTTCTCCTGATCAGAGGAAATAGTCTCAGAAACACCACATTTTAGGTTAAATTCATAAGCATTCATATCAATACTAATGATAAGCACTGTCACTAAGTAAAACCAACTCGGAGTAATTATTCATTATCACTTGTAACCCTTTTAGAAAAGTACACACAGCTCAGCCAGCTGAGTATCTTCAGTAATGATTATTTTTAATAGTAATCCTCTCCTGTATCTATTACTAGCAATATATAAATTGATTAAATAAATAAAATAAGACATCTGAATTTTGAATATATTATTCCGGTATGAGGGCATTTGATTAATTAGCATACTTGCTGTCTCATTTAGACACATTCAAAACTCTTCCCAACATCATTTTCCATGCTCCGAAAAATCTGCTGTCACAATTTCTTTTCTCTCCGCCGAGAATTTCACATTGTGAGAACAATGAACCCAAAATGTCTAAGTTATAATTATACCTGCGATGACAGATGACAGTTAAAAACTTAATTTAGAATAAAATCTCCTTTGACTGAGTTGTTCCGTAAAGAGAGGGATCCTTGCTTTATAATGGTAATTACTCTGCCATTTATTATTCTATCAGCGCACGCAATTAAACGAGTGCGCTGAGGACACAGTTGATAATAAAGTGTGGGGAGAGTGAATGCTAATTAACCTTAGAGATGGCTGCTCCTCTCTCTCAGTCTGTGCTGCTTCACCCCTCCACTTCTGCTCCTCTGAACTCCAGCACTTGGTGCCATGACTCAGTCAGATGGTAACTCTAATCTGCCTGACCACCAGTGCCACAGTTAGCTGCAGAAGCCAAAGACACAGCAATCACTGACTAAAACAACTCCATATTAGGGGTGGGGCAGTGGTAGCTCAGTGGTTAAACTGCTGGCCTACTACTCAGAAGGGTGTGAGTTCAAATCCCAATACTGCCAAGCTGCCACTACTGGGTCCCTGAGCAAGGCCCTTAACCCACAACTGCTCAGTATTTATTTAAAAAAAAAAGAGATAAATGTAAGTTGCTCTGGATAAGGATGTCTGCCAAATGTATATTATCATATGTTATTATTGATCATAGCCACATCTGTATTGTTTCAGGATGATGGCTACAATACACACAGTGTATCATGCCACACTTTACTTTCTGGTTGGGATAATAATAATAATAATAATAATAATAATAATAATAATAATTTGTAAAGGTAATAAATTAAAATGAGAATTTATAATTTAAATTAAGATAATTAAATTTTTTTCCCTGTTCCTTACCTATGTAGAATTTCTGACAAGAATTTCACCTTGTATTCTGCTTTTTTTATTTTTTTAAGAAATGAGTGACTGGCAAATAAGTTCTTGACAGAGACTCTTTCACCTTTATATCTTTTTTTGTGAGAATGACTTTAATGTTTTGTGCCTGCATTTTATGGTCCAAAATGTAAAATGCTTGAAAGTCTGCCAAAAAACCTTCTTTGTCAATCACTTATTCTGCGGCCCTTTTAAGTGGATTTCCCCCTTTTTTGTAACCAGTGGGACACCTGACAGTATGGGACAAAGCAGTGCCTCCTCATCAGAACTGTGTGTGTGTGTGTGTGTGTGTGTGTGTGTATGGGGGGGTTGAGTTGAGGGGCAATTATGAGATTAAGCCCACATGCTTTCAGCTGGACTTGATTCAAAGAATGGAATCGGAGAGCCACTTCCTCATGCTGATCCCGATCCTGACAGCTTTCAGTGGCTGGATCCGCCCATCATTATTCACAACCGCGACTTCCTGTTTGTTCTGTCCAAAAAGAGCCCCATGTCCTCAGAACTATTACTGCAATCCCACAAGTTTATAAACTCTGACCAGGAGCATGAAATTTCTTCTCATATGCAATGCTGTATTTGAGTGAAACTTTTCTACTTTTCTATGCCATTCAGGTCATCAGTATCTACAGCTACATCGCTGAACATCTCTCAACATTTCACCTTTATTCCTCAGACAGTCCTCCTGCAACTTCTAAGGTTTTCAAACTGGTGGCCATTTTTCAAAAAGAGAAATCTACATTTATTTAAGACCTTGAAGACTGCATGACCTGAAAGATGGATGGTTCTTAAAAGAGGGAGAAAATCCAATCCTGGATAATAGCAAGTTATCAATAACAGGCAGATTTTGTCGCTCTTAGCTGTGTGACCATCTGCCACCGTGTGGCACATTATTTGCATCCCTCAGGTATCACATTCTCTTCAGGCTCTGGAGTAATGATTCACAAATCATTCTTGCCACACTAGTCAAGGGCTGCGATCCTGTGAATAGCCCATTGTACCTGCAACTGTAATTGGTGAAGGTTTGACAGGACTGAGAGTCAGCAGCAGTATAACAAAGAAGCTCTTCCACCAACGCTGAGGGATGATTTTCATAATGTTGGCACAGAGACGCTAAATGAGCACAGAGGTCTCGGGGTCCTGGCACTGAGTGACATGCGACCAGTAACACACTCTCTCTGAGGGCTGCAAAACACACAGCCTGCTTTGACTACACACACATAGCAGCGTCAATTAAGAGATTTGATGCTCTGTCAACACTGCTTTCACGACCAATTTGAAGTAACTTTATGGCGTATTTCATAATTTTACAATATCAAAAGTCACTCCCAATTATTTGTCCATGAACAAACAACTTGACAAATGAACTGAAAAAAATTTTAATGTCAAAGCATCAATTTGGTTTTTTTTGCCAAGTCATTTTTCCATATTTGGACATGAATACAATTATGTTGTGAAAATAATGGCTTGTAGAAGTGTCATGTTGCCAGGCGTTAAGGAAATGGACTGAATTTGAAGTTAATAAGCTAAAGTTGACTGGAAATTACAGGCCTACACAAGCACACACACACACACACACACACACACACACACACACACATCCTTATCCTTATTAGGACCATCCATTGACATAATTATTAAAGCAGCTAATTAATACTAGGCATACACCTAATTCTAACCCTAACCTTAACCTCAGTAACCAAAAGGAAACGTTTTGACTCTTTTAGTTTAAAATTAAGATAGTTTTAGCATTTGAGCACACACACACACACACACACACACCCCTATGTATCTGACAGGATCTAACAAGACAATTTTTCAAAATAAAAAAAAAAAACTAATTAAATTACTTATTTTAAAGTAATTAAATAAATAATGATACAATATTATTTAATATTTTTTAACCACATTACCTCTTTATGGCTTTCTGTCAGACAGTGTATCTTTGTTAACCTCTCTCTCTCTCTCTCTCTCTCTCACTCTCTCTCTCAGTTTTCAGTTTTCATGTGCTTTATTGGCATGACAAATAATTGTACATTTGTATTGCCAAAGCAGGTACAAAGGAAGGGTAGTGTAAAAACAGGAGAAATAAAATAAAAAGACAAAACAAAATAAAATAAAATACTAATAGATTAAAATAAACAAAACAACCACTCTCTCTCTCTCTCTCTCTCTCTCCACAAGTCTACATCCTCCTACGTATTTCCTTTATAGTCCAGCAGCTGATCAACTACCAGAAAGGAGGCTAAAAGAGACTGACAAACCTCATTATCTGTGTTATCTACATAACACACACACACACACACACAGAGAATCAATTAAAACAATTAAAATGTAAATCAGTAAATAAAGATAAAAACACATTAGTTATATTTTAATAGAATATTACTACCAATGTTTTTTTTTTTTTTTAACTTATATAGGTAATATGTTTTTCCCCTTTGGAGTATAAAATTAAACAAAATATGTATAATGGCATTAGGCTAAGTATAAAATAAAAATACAACATCTCTGAGAGCTCTGATAAAAACAGAGTGAGCGAGAGAGAGAGAGAGAGAGAGAGAGAGAGAGAGAGACTGAATGAGCGGTATGGGAGTCTAATCCCTGTCCTAACATCCTGTTTTGAGTGGCTCATTTCTCAAATCACTGCTAATAGGAAGATTCAGCACTTTCTGCCCTGTGTCTTTCTATCTGAACAAATGATGCCTGAAATTTTTATTCTTTTTATAATGGAATTTCAATAGCCTTCACTGCAAATCTAGTGGAAATTTTTGCATATCAAGTGGGAAAAATTAAATGTTAACCATGTTTTAATGTGATTAAGGCTGACAGAGACATTATTTCTGCTAATCACTCAGAAACTGAAAAGCTCAAACACGGCTGCAGAACACACCAGGCTCTGTCTGTGCTTTTAGAAACACTTTAGCACTGTTTATAGAATTACACTCACATGCTTTTTTAAAGAGAAGTCTCTGCGACACAGCTACATGTAAAACACAGTGCACTGCAAATAATTTTAAATTAAGAAATCACATGCACTATGTTGTTAAAATCAGATCAAAAAGCTGTTATAATTATGGCTGAAGTGAAAAAAAAAAGTGCTTAAGCAGATGATTAGTGCTAGTAATGTGAGTCTCTGAAAACTGTGCTACCTGACTGAATCAGGGTGAGGGATTTTTAATAGCAAAGCAAATAGTTAATAGCAGTAGTGTTCTGTGTGTGTGCACGTGTGTGTGTGCTCATGTAACTAGGCTAATTTTAGCTTTTTTTTTTTTTTTTGCCTATGATAGAGGTGGCCTCAGGCTTCAGCTCTACTTTGATCTGCTTAAATGACACCGAGCAGGAGCAGAGGAGAGGGAGGGAAAGAGGGGAAAAGACAGAGCAGGAGGGAGGGAAAAGACTGGAGTACAGGTGCTGCTACCTGAACCTGTGTCCTGCCCCTTTGAGTGGCTGTATTGAGTGGAGCAGCTTAATTCCCAAAGCTCAAGCAGGTAAAGCTCCCACAGGGCCAGCGAGGACAAAGAGAGGCAATGCTGAAACCTCTAAAGCCTCCATTCTCACACTGAACGCTGACTAGATAGGCTAAACCTCCATCTACACCCCCATAACTTCATTACACTCCCTCTCACAGCGAGACAGAGAATCAAAAGCACCTCAGCTACAGGACATTTTATCAACATGGCCTCACACTTGTAAATTTAGACAGGTTTGCATGAGTGAATTGTTATGAAGAGAATTGCATATGATTGGGTTGGTGTTATGAAGACTTCTTGCCACTCATCAGATGGACTTTCTCAGTTCTGGAGAAGATTATAACACAAATTCACTCATCTAGACTTACTACAATGATTTATTCAAAACTGTTTAAGGACTATGACAAGTCACATAACTTGTCTGATTCAGCTAGCACTGATTCATGTTCTTAATTTTTTCCTCCTGGTTATCCTTCTGGGGAATCCTTAAAGGTTGTATGTTGAACCTGACAACTGAATGATTATCAGAACAGGTTCCAAGGAGAACCCTTTCAGGAAGCTAGTGAGAACTCTTATCTTTCTAAAGAATCCTTGATGGACAGCTGATGTGTTCTGCACTTATGTAAAATAAAATGTCTCCAGAATACTTAGCATTATTGATAAAAAGTCTTATTTTGAAATTTGTTGTTGCCACCTACCAGGATCAGTATCAATATTGATGCATTATATTGGATCTTTAGTGCAACAAAAGCTGTTTAAGACACAGTCAAATAAACTAGCCTAGTTATGCTAATGTGAGTCTGTTTAAATGGTGTGCTCAGAATTTAAACTGGGTGCTCAGCCATATCATTGTAAAAAATGAACAAACTCCTGCATATGAGCCAGAGCTGAAAAATGTGAGCTTTCTTGTGTTCTTCTTGCTTTGATTTTTTTTCTCTTGCACTGAGGCACTTTGGTAAAAATCGAGAAAAATCAGAGAACTAAATCAGCGCAGCTGATGCAACATGTTAAATCAACACTGACTGCAGCTGATGATCAGCTTGGTGTGACATGATCTTACCAGACAAGCTTCCACTACATCTTCACTGCTGTTCCATTCCTCCCAATTTCTCCTCTTCTCTAGATGCACCAGAGGCTGTTATTTTGGAGCTTTAGCTGGC